CCCACATACTTGGCTGTCTTGCTAATGATGCCATTATCACATCAAAACAAATCATTATTTTTCCCTGTTAAGCACTTATAAGGCTGCATGTGGAGGACTGTGTACATGGCTGGCACACAAAAGACACTGGAATACGGGGCAATTCTAGCAAATGTGAGAAGGTAAATCCTATTGCTGTCTTCAGCTGTTCTGCAGGGTTGGGGTACAGAGAAGACCAGCTCTTCTTGGAGGTACACAATGAAAGGAAGAGAGAGAATACTGCAAATTGCGGCAAGAGAAATTCCAATTAGATGTGATGAAAACAAATTTCATAATGAGAGTAGTCAAACATTGGAATAGATTGCCCAAAGAGATTGGCCATGGTTTGGTGGTAGGGTGGAGATGTGTAGAACCAGGTGATCTCCAGTGCTCCATTCCAACCTAAGCTGGCTCTGTGATTCTTGAAGGTGAATGTGAGCTGTTGCTGGCAGTCAGCTGCTTATATTTGTCCTAATGAGGTAGCATTTCTTGACTTGACAAAGCAGACATGAAATAGAGTAGCAAGTTGGATTGATTTTAGATACTTGAAAAACACAATTTTATTGGCTGAAAAACACATCTTCAGGTCTATTTGGTTATTTCTGCTTTCTGGAGATGGATGATTAGGAAACTCTGAATAGGAATTACTGCTTTAAATATATGCATATTACTAGGGTCCTCTGGTAGTTTTTTACTTTTATGACTGTATCATGTCTTCTCCCAACCTCTCACCTCTCCAAGTTGTTATTTTGAAGAACAAAAAGTAATTACTTACTGAGTTAATGTTTATTTGCTTTAATGGACCTGTTACATCTGATAAAGACAAAACACCTAGTGCATGCTTTTCTGAGAGTGATAATGTGTCACAGTCATTCAAATATTGCTTTTGTTTTCAGAGCTTCAAATGGAGCCAAAAGGTGATGCCAACTATGCTGCTGCAGCAGGTCATTAGTTAAGTGCCTGCTTTATTTTGCATGGGAGGATGTTATCTGGCTGCATTCCAGAAGGTATTGATGTACAGTAGCTTATGCTCATTCATATGATGGAGTGCCTTACTCAGTGCTGAAAACAATGATGCATGGCATAGCTAAAAAGGTACTCATGCAGCCACGTACATCTGGGAAGAATGTACAAGCTGGGGTAGATACTGAAATTGTCAAGAGCGAGGATTCTGACTGAGTGATTCCACTGCATGTTTATACTTAACCTAGTTCACAAACTCCTCCAGTTTTTTTGTGTGGGGGTGGTTAGGGTTGTCCACCCATGTGCAATCAATTAAGATATTAAATTCTTGCTCAATTGAAGGCATGAAAATCAAGTGATGTAACAGCATCAAACTGTGCCAAAACAGTTGGGTATTTGCCTGAAGGAAAGTGAGTTCCCCATTTTCCACATCTTAACAAATAACAAAAGATTCCTTCTGCAAAATTGCAGTTATCAAGCTGGGACAGATCCCAACTGAACATTTCATATATTATTTTAGAAAAATAAAAATAAAATCTAACAAACCAACAGTTTGCAAAGAGCTGATCATTATTGTTCTTCTTTATGCCTTCTGCCTTTACTGCACATTACTATTGCCTTTTGTTTTGCATTTTAAGATGCAATTTCCAGATGTTTTGCACTTCAACTGACTTTGGTGTGACAGAAATTTAATCTGAAATACTTGAGAGAAAGTTTCTTCCAGAAATGTTGAGAGAGAGGACACAGATTGATTTTGCTTTCATTAAAAATACTATAGTTTTCATAAAAGAGAAGGTACAACTCACAAAGAGAGAAAAGGTGAAGGTCAGCACGGAAGGAGGGGTGTATGGTTGATGGTTGTAGGTGGATGGTTGGACTGGATGATCTTATAGGTCTTTTCCAACCTTAGTGATTCTGTGATTCTGTGATTCTGTATATGAAGCATTTGGACCTGAAATCTTAACATGCATTCTCTCATAGAACCCCTAATTAAATATAAGCCATTTTTCCTTCTGATGTCAGCAAGTGCCTGCTTACCCAGCTCTGATCACTGAAGCAAATAGAGGATAGCAAGATCCTACTGCAATCTATTAGTGCCTCATTAAGTACGCCAACTATTTGTAAAACATTCTTCAGGATGAGGAGCACCCACAAAAATCCCTGCAGGGAATTAGTCAGTCTCTGTTCAGTGCAAATTTATTGAGGTGTGGTAGGTAAAATCTAAAGTCTCGTGTTGAATGATGAGCACGAGTAGAAAGCAGGAGGAGCTGCCCGTGCCCAGAGAAAGGCGGTCACCACGGAAGCAGGGGTCTCGCAGAGGACCTCGTGGGATCCTGTTGGACCATGAGACCCTCAGGAAGGAACTTATTTCCATCTGGATTTTAGTTCTGCAACAGTACGAAGTTTTTGGGGGGTGGTTGTGAGCATTGTACAGTCCAACGAATTGTATAATGAAGGTTTTTGAGATTATTTGCATCTCAGTGAGGAGAGGGATTAAGAAAGGGAAGTATGAAGATGAACTGACATCAGTTGATATTTCCTTGAGCAGATGGAGTGTGTTAGGTAATGATCTCCAGTGTACAGAGCCATGCTAGTGAAAATTCGTGGTATGATATTAACACAATATAATACAAATCATTGAGCTTCTCTGAGATGGGAAACTGCCTGAGAAGTCCAAGAGCAGGCATTCAGAGAGGTGCAGCAGGCTCCAGGGAATGGATAGCCAAGGACTGAAGCCAACTTGGATTCAGAGAGCAGCCAGCATACACGTAACTTGCTTTCTGCAGAAGCAATGGCAGTCCCAAGCTGTGCTTTGTTGGTTTTCTGAAGAATCTTAGACAATTCTTTGCCTCTCTATGGGCTCCACATCACCTTGTGATCTATGCCAGGAATGCTTCCTGTAGGGGAAGCTTCTTTCACCTGACGAGATCATGGCACAGAAAGGTGTATTCTCTTTTGTCTGAATGAAAACCAGAGTGAATCAAAGTTAATAAGAGGCTTCAGTGATTGGTACCAAGAATGCTTCAGGCATCTGAAGAACAGGAAGGCCCCACTACTGTTGCACTGTAGCACAGTATTAGAGAGAAATCTCAAGGACATCAAGATATATGGTCAGCTGGATTGGAGCTAAAGTCCTTCTGACCACAAAGGACAGGGAATTTCAGTGTACCCTCAGTCTGCAAGAGATGCAATCACTTGTCAGCCTGCAGAAGTGACTGCTAAGACATCACCTTTTGGTGTTGTCCTGGACAATTCTACAGGCCACTGATGTGGTACCATAAGGCAATTCATATAGGAAAAGATATAACACTTCTCTGCAGACGTTGCCTCAGAAGTAGAACAAAATTTTCCATTTGAAAAGTAATATTAATGTGATATTAACTGTTCATCTTTAAAGATCACAGGTAAATCAGTGTTTTTTCAGATGTGTTTATTAGCTCCTTTATAAAACAAGCATGTCATGAACTAAGTTGCGTTTACAGCAGAAATAAGAATCATATGCAATAGCAATAAATAATAATATAATAAATAAATATCAATACTTAAATAATAGAGTAGCAACAAACACTTGTGGATAGATTAGCAATGGTTTTCTGAAATATCAGATACTTCCTATGTTTCAATGTTTAAATACTTAAATCACCACCCATTTCTAAAACTGGAAGAAAAAGGAAGCATGGTCACAATTGAGGACTCTTTTAATTCCACTGATCTTGTATCAAGGACAAAGGCCCAAGCCCTCAAAGATATTTTGAAGCATTTTGTCCTCCTGAAAGCCACAACTTAGGTGGTTTGACAAAAAAAAAACTAGGGGCTTCAACACATGCTTGTGCTTTTTTTTCCAGACCTGGGCACTTACACTGTAAGCAGTTCAGAATTAGGATTTTATTCTTTTCCTAAGGTTGTGTGAAGACACAATAGCACTTCTGGCAGTGCTAGAGAAATATCTTCAAAATGATCTATGAAAATCCATATTCTAAAATTCTAACTTTAAATACAGGCTTAAAATTCACATATAAAATCAGTTCTCAATTGCTCTCTGAAATATCAGATACACAGCAGTTGAACTATTAAATAATTTCAGCTGCCTACGATGCACAGTGTTGACCACAAACAGCTGAAAATGTGCAGCAGTTAACATTACCAGGACTCTGAGTCTGCAGTTCCTTCTTTTAAAATATTAACTGTCAGACTGGAAGATGAAGATAGCCCAGATGTATGATACAGAGCTGCCTCATGCAGCCAAGGCTTTCTGTGCTGATATATTTCAAATAAATAAATAAATAAATAAATAAATAATAAATATGAATGTAATTATATAATTTAACAATCAAATAATTAATAAATAGTTCTTTCAATAAGTTACATTCTCTATAAGTTAACACATGAAACATCCTGACTAGCAGCTGCCATCGACTGACATTGCAATTCATATCAAGTAAATAATAAATAGATCAATAAATAAATGCAGTAAAAAAGTACATGGAACCAACAATAATAGCTGACAGGAATGTATCAAAATACCATACATGTTAATATAACATGATGTGTGCTAGTGGTGTTACTCAAATCTGGGGAATTTAAAAGATCTGTCAGAATCAGGATCATACTATTCTACTATGGAAAAAAAAAGGTTAAGGCGTGGCTTCTTAATAATCTCACATGCAGATTTTTCTTCTAATTAGCATATTTTCTTGTCTTAATCCATCCTTTGCTTTCTTGAGGAGCATTACACCAATCTCTTGGTGTTTATCTGTAAAATAAATGAAAGGCAATTACATAAGAATTATCTTCATTTTCCTCAGACCTACGTTTTTAGTCAGTTTCTCAATAAAGCTGTGCTGGTCTTAGTGATCTCATGAAGCACCACTGATCTTTCTAAAGGACTCAGAGGCAGACGATGCCAGGCTCAGGAGTTCCCCAGTCAGCCAGGGACTGAGAATTTGGCTTCAACTTATGAGGGCTGGGACCTGTCCAGCTTTGGCCCTCTGCTCCACCAGCAGAAGGCTCTTGGAGTCTTACCTGCAAAGTGTAGACCACTCACTCCAGGATGAGTTGTAATAGCGATCCCTGGCCTGCACAAAGATCTTGTCTTTTGGCCCAGACTTTGGAATCTGAATAGACTGCTCATCAGCATCATAAACCTGTGAACAGGGCACAGCTCCATCAGTAAGGGTCAAGCAGAGCATAAAGTGCCAGACAGACAGCACCAAGCATGTGTAACTGCAGAAAACACTGGTGGTCTGTTGTTCCAAAGGCACCAATCCTCTCTCACACATGTCGAAGTCATGAACGGTTGTAAGAACCTTAAACTCAGTGGAAACAAACTATGACTCCCATTGAAGTTAATGATGTAAAGCAATCCGAACCCCAAGCTCAAACTGTCATAAAATCAGAGGGCTCATTTGTTTATCTTTCTTTTTTTTTCTCTCTCTCTTTTTTTCCCCTCTTTTTCCTCAAACAGGGAACCCTAAAAGGCAGAAGTTGCCAGAAGTCTGAAGACTTTTGGCTAATACAAGAAATGCTCTGTAGATCTGCCAGTTTCTCTATGGGATTGCATAACACAGCCCTACCAATATCAAGGAATCACTACTAGGTGAATGGCCCCATCTGCTGGTAAAGGCTTGCTTATTATTTTTCACATATAAATATCCTTTTGTGTCCTTGGTTTAAATGGATTTCAGACCGTAATGATCACATTTGTTAATTTTCTGACTTCTGGACCAAGGAGAGCAGCGAAGGACCTGCACTATGGTCAGTTGCTCTGTGTATTTCTTTCTACTTCTCCTGTTGATTTCTTTGACTACCAAGACAAATCACTCTACTGCTGCTGTGTGCCCTTTAGTGTACCCATAAGCATTAACACCGGAAGCAAAATAATCTCATTATTTCAAGCTAAAATGGATTAGCAATATTAGGGTTAACAATTCGTTGACAATTAACTAATAACAGGAATATGAGAGGCAAAGACTTCAGTCTTCACTAGTATCCACAGAAATGCTACTAAATGAGTCATTGATGCCTTATTTGACAATTCACACATAAAGTCTGAGCTAGCCAGGTACAAATGACATACAAGGAACTCACTGCAGCAGATCCTAGACCTATGGATTTGGAAATTGGGATTTTCCCACATTAGGACCCACATAGTCTACTAATGAGTTAGTCGATACTTATCTCAAGCTAGCATTGGCTATGCAATACTGGACTTGATTTTATCTCCCAACTTACATCAGGTTTCATCCACCCTAGGTTGAATCTTACTGCTCACAGAACTGAGAAGGAGGTCACTGTCTTCCAAAACAGAACCTTTCTACATTTGGGGCTCAGCAGCATTTTTATTTTATTTTAATTCTAGTCCACAATTCATGTGCTCTAAGCTTTTATTTACACTGTCTGTTAAAACAGGAAAATCACACATCAAATGTTGCATTTCTACCTTGCTTCTGTATTTCTTCATGCTTTCAACTTTGACCCTGAAAGTCAAAGGGAAGTAGGACTTTGGTGTGCTCCAGGTTCTGGGATATGTCCAGGTCACTGTTCCATTTGTGCTTGCATACTGACATTGAGGTGGGTCTGGCTTTACTGCAAGAGAAAATATAGAAGGTATTAATACACATTAGCAGCATAAGATCACGTTGGTGTACTACTGCTGACAGTTTTACATGAACTGGCTGTTGGAACCTCTATTAAATTATGACAGGAGTTGGCATGGTGCATAAGAACTGCACTGTATGCTTTCATGGAAAATTAACAACATTCCCACAGCCTCTCTGGGTAAGATCCTTCAGGGTTTTTTTTTTTGCCTGGAGAGCTCTAGGAAGCTCTGTTAGAGACAGATGGTTATCTTCACCCCCTGCTGACTGCGAGGGCACTGAGCAAAACATGTTTTTGTCCATCTGTAAGAATGGATCAGGAGTGAGACATACCTGACCTTAACCATTATCTGAGTAAATCTGCAGTTCTCAAAGAATAGCCTGCTGGGTTATTGGCTATTCTCTGGCTTCCCCCACATGCCCCTTCCAAAACACATCTATGTAATAGAGAAGGTTACAGAAACTTCTGGCAGATGTGGGAGAGAGAGGCTTGGAGGTCACAAGCTATGGATACGTTGCTTCTTCACTTCCTCATCTTCTTCCAGACTGCTGCTATGATTCGTTTCCCCCTGTTCCTGTAACTGGGGGCAGGATACAGATTTACAGTAGAACAGAGCAGGGATTCCCAAGCTTGGTTTGGTCAATTACCATTGTTAGTTCCACTGCCTGCAGCAAGAATAAGGCTAAGAACTAATGATGATTTCTGGTCTACTCACTGATATCTCTGATGAAGAAGCTGCTAGTGTAGTTCTCATATTCCACCTCATCAATGACCTCCAGGAACATCTCAGTTGGCTGGTGCTCTTCGGCAAACGGACAGTAGTTTTCCTTCTGGCACTGGGCAGTGTATTCAGTCACAGATTTTTCAGTGTGAGCCACAGGGCTGCTGCAGGTTACATCTCCTTGAGAGCTGAAAATACAACAGAAAAAAAAAATACCGGTTTGTTCTGAGAATTTTGTTGCCGTAATTATACCACTTAATTGGTAAGATGATGTTTGGTCTTGTGTATATCGTGCTATGTCTGCACTTAAGGAACAGCAGAAGCAATTCAGTGTGTTCTTACCTATTTAGTAACTATATAATATATTAATAAAATAACAAAAGTCCATCCCAACTTCTGCTTAGCAGAAGAAATTTGTGTTTAAATATAAAAAGGGATAACTTCATTTCTAAAGACCACTGCTCCATGACAAGCTGTGGTATCTAACTTTGTTCCTCAGAGCTTTCCAAAACCTCGCTGGAACAAGCAAGGCATGGTTAAACCATTCAGTTGGGAACTAACAAAAAAATGCAACCTTTAATAGATGACGAGAGCCTTCGTCTACATTTACATTCAACAAAATAAAATATTTTGCAGTTTTTTTCCTCTCTAACAAACTCAAATGACCTTTGCCCAGGCACTCCATGTTTTGGAGAAACCCTCAAGAGTGGTGGGAGGTAGGAAATTCCCCCAAGGTTCCCCTCACACATTTCCCTTGCAGGTTTCTGCAGTGTTCCTCAACAGAGACTTGGCCATGGACGTGTGGCTTTTGTCGTGGGTGCAGCCTCCCACTCCTTCAATTCCACTGGATCTGATGAGACTCAGTGCTATGATTGTTTCTGCTTTTGGCTCAACTTCCTCTCTCTTCCCTGCACGAACTGCTGCTTTTGCTATTGCTTAAGTGTAGCAGCTGTAACAATCTGGTGGGGGTTGTTCCATTTTCAAATCTGTATTAATTTCAGAGTGACTTCCATGCTCTTATTAAAACCAATTCCAACGAATGCTTAAAATATTTTGCAGATGTTCAGATTCTGAAAGCAGGATTCCTCCCCTTCCATGTGCCCTCAAGAGCTCACAGTGCAGCGTCTCCTACACAAGCACCAAGGGCTCTTCTGGCTGTACTATGAAGTGTTTAAGGAAAGTACAAGCTTTTACCCTTTTAGGCTCCTGATTGTGAACTTCACGCTTGGACTCTCATTTTCTGTCATCCATGAACATGTGAAAATTCCAGAGTAGTTCTTTGCCTCACATTTTAAGAACGTCTTGCTTGGCTCTAGATGGACAAAGAAAGAAAATGCAATTTATTTACTTTTTTTGACAAAGTGATCAAAACAGGGAGAAAACAGTAGTTCAGTAAATTCCAGTCTCCTTCGGCAGGTGGGTATGCAGGCAGACACAGCTTCCTGCTGCCCACTGGGCAGCTACCTCTACTGAAAAAGCCATGTAAGAACAGTTGGAGGCCTATATAACACCACATTAACCATATCTAAACAGCAGTTGGCAGGAGCTAGAACACACTAACATGCTGCAGAGACCTGTCAGTAAGGGACTTATTTAGACAAATCCATTGGTCCTTTTTGTAGAGAAAGAGTATACCTATTCAGCTGGAAAACCTTCCAGCCTTGGAAGTTCCTGTGTTCCTATGTTCCAGAGTAAGGGACTGCAAGCTGAGTAAGCTGCATTGCAAAAATGCAAAATATCACAGATTTGTCCCAGTGAATTAATAATGAATGGAGAAGCTCAAATGGCAGTACTTAAAATCTTGATCAATCCCTGATTCTGACAAATCTTCCAGCCCTGGCTTTGCAAGGACACATTACTTAGAGGCAGAGCACTCTCCTGAGTGCTGCGTCTGCGAGATGGAGGCAAAACAAATCCTACCAGAAAAGCAGTGGTGTAGTACTGATAGTATCCCTTATTTTCTATACCAGTCTAGTTGTTCCTATCATCACTCCATCTACAAGTCTAAATTAATTCCACAGCAGATTCATGTTCTGCTCATCAGTCGCACTACACACACACTGTCATCATCTCCCTTTCACTGTGGAAGTGTTTGGAGATGGCTGATGTCAGGTGTACAGTTCTCAAACATTTCTGCAGTGCTCCCTCTAGTCTTCACAAAAGTGCAACGCACAAAACTGACCACAATACATCATCACATCATGCTGTGACTGTACCTTTATAGCTTTTCAGAATCGACCGTATCATTTGCCCATTGGAGTCTACTTTAGTTATGAGGAAGAAATTGTAGCTGATAATCTCGTGTGTCTTAGCTGACAGACAGGTGTAGTTGCCAGCATCCGGGAACTCCTTCACTTCGGCGATCAGAGTCTTTCCAGTTCCTTTCAGTTCTGTTTCCTTTTTCCAGTAAACTGGCAGTGTTTCATCAGATGTGTTACAGGTGAGCTTCACTTTTTTAGCTGGTGTCTCATCGTTCCACTCAGATTCTATGACATACACTTCAGATATTGCAGAGAAAGACATGTTACACCAACCAGAATGAACGGTATGAAGGCTGAATTGAGACATTTTTTTCAGCTCTGCTTTCTAGGAAGACTGCTACCAAATCTCTTTCTTCAGTCATCTGGACATCTTCACTACAAGGACTTTACGTTAAATTTACAATGCATCTAGAACCCACTGACCAGTAGGCATGACATTTTAATTGGATAAAACGCTTTTTTTCCTTGGGTCCCAGAAAATCTTACAGTGATTCTTAACCATGGGAGGAGGCAGGAACCTTTCTTTTAAAGATGAGGATGCCAGGACACAGTGAGTCTGGATAATCATGGCCCTTGGCTTTCACTCACAGAATGCCATGTGCCAGCCCTCAGTACTATGGTGTTTGGCTCTGTGACAGGACCTCCTCAGTGGTAAAGATTTGTGTGTGAGCAATGGGAAGGAGGGCAGCTCTAGGTAAGTGGTTTGCATTTGTCTGTAGCTAATGTTTTCCATTTTCTAGAGGGATCAATCTGTACTCCTATCACTCTGGTCTAAAAGGAGCAATTATTGAGAGACAGAAGACCTCTGAGTTACAGCAGACATAAGTGGACTACAACAGGGACATGCAGTCTTCTAAATGCCATCTTGTAGCTCTGCAGTGCCCTACTGGTCTTTCCAAATTACCAGACACACCACCTAACAAAATGTTTTGGAAATATTCCATTGAAAGAGCATTATCTTGTCTGTTTGCTATGGTTTCATGTAGGAAGTGAAGTAGTGGTCAGGTTGGCTGACTTCACGTACACTTCTGTGTGACTACAGTTCTCAAATTTAACTGCTACTGCTCAGGTATTCTACCACTGTCAGAGGCTCCCCAGCTACATTTAGTGCTGACACAGACTTTTTACATACAAGAAGAGGCAAAAATTTGTCTCTCATGGTGCCAACACCACAGCAAGCAGGAAACCAGAGATCCAGTGAGCCATAAAACATTTACACCAGGACACTGCACTAGCAAAATGACAGTTTCAAGACTTTACCACAGAGCAGAGAAGAAACACCAAGAAATCCATGTCAAATTCTTGAAACATGCAACTCCAGGAAGCTTGGAGGCTTAGCAAAACTACTGATGGATTTTTGAAGGACAGACAAAGTCAATTTCTTAGAGTTCAAACACAAAGATAAAGAAGTGTATTCTCAAGACTTCAAGAAACAGATTTCTTACCATTCTCTCTAAGTTTCCACTGTGCTTCCAGAAGGGCAGCAAAGGAAAGTAATGAAAGTAAGGCAAATAGCAGGTGAGACATCTGTAGGTAAAAAATATATTACTTCATTTAGGATTGTTCAGTGTGTGTTGTAATCGAGCTCAGTGCTGGATAAGACGACAGATTCAGTTCCAGTGAACTAAGAAACATCCTCCCATTCTAACAATTCTTATACTACATCAAAATTGCATAGCAGGCATGCACTTCAGTTTGAGGCAAGATGTTGATCTGCTAGTTATTCATATCACAAACCAGTATGAGAGAAGAAATCATGGCACTTGGAGGCAACTGTGTGCACAGGTCTTGACCTTTATCTGGTCAAGTGAACTAGTTGAAGAACTAGACCTGTCATTAGGTCAAATTTCCGACCTTTATCTGGCCAAGGGCTCAGAAGCATTCCCAGATCCCTGAGTCGAACATTCCTTGAGCAAGAGAAACTCTACTGATGCTAGTGAAGCTTCTTACAGAATAAGGCACTGAATCAAAGGATTGATGAACATAAATTCCAGCCCTACAATGCTTTTGGATATGTGCCAGTGGTCCTATATAAAAACTCATACTACATAAAATTATGTACATAAAATTCATAGTTCATATTGGGCTAAAGCTTGATACATCCTCACTAGATAAAGAGGAGGGGAAGGGGGGCAGCAGCTGCTCCTGACTCCTCACGTACCCCCTATATAAGTGCATATTCAATATGTAGTAGATATGCTTAATAGATAAACATGATACAATATTTATTTTCTGAATCTCATGTAAAATACTTTGTCCTGAATTCAAAATACAGTGATATGGTTTTGTGAGAAGGCAAACACTCTTAGCTCCCTGTAGACAGGATTATCTGTAATTTGTGAACAAAAACCACGTTTTGTCTCTTTCTCAAAGATACTCATTTCTCTCACAGCCACATGGCATTCATCACTGTGCTTCTTAAAGCTGATACCTGAAGTATTGATTAAAAACTTGGAGAGAGGAGAAGGGAATACAAAGAGCTTTCTTTTCAATATCACCATCAAAATTTAGAGCTTTCAAATAAAAAAGCTTCATCCAATTTTAGGAAGAAGCTTCACAATTTGGGTTTCCATTGAAAAAAAGTTAAAAACTCCCATGGAAAATTTATCCACCTCTTCCCAACTCACAGTTGTCTTGAAAAATTAATCATAAACAGACTGTTTCAGGACATCATTAATCAGTGCAGATGCCTGAGCACTTCATAGGTGAGAATGGCGTGCCAGCTCCATGTGCTCCGTGAGATCCAGGCCGTAAGCTGCCAGAAATCAGCACAGATTCCTTCACTGAGCATCACAGGGGGGTTCGTGTCAGACAGCACTTCTGCAGGTCCCAGCTCAGGGCAGGGCCAGCTCAAGGGGGATGCATTTTTTTTTTAAAAAAAACCAACTGTTTAATCATTAATATATCTTTATCTAAGCACACAGCCCAGTAACGTGAATATGGTAACCTATAAAAGATCGTTATAACGTAGCTATTCTGTTAGTTAGGTGGCAATTCTGTTAGCTATGCACGTACACACAGTGTGCCTTTTACTTCAGGCACGTAAACATATAAATACCGCTACGAGAAAAACAGCATGAGAAGTATTTAAGGACACCCAAAGCACTGATCTGTAGAGCTGTCGGTATTTTCCCGTGCAGTCAGCAGCCGCCAGACTTGTGCAGCCCTGCTGGTAGAGAAGAAAGGAATTCGTACCTTTTCCTGCGCTGCCGGGTGCTGAAGTTGCTGGACAGGTTGGTTCTGTGATCTGAAGGAAGCAGAGCGCCGGCCGCCTTATAAACACTTGTAAACTCTGAAAGGGATGCTCCGTTTCACCGCAATACCACAGAATTGCAACATGGGGCTTGAGTTCCTTTTTTACATAGTGGCAGAGCTAAGGCATGAAAAAAAAAGTTTGGGACTCCCAGGTAAACTTTAAAGAGGAAATGAGATTATGAGATTGTTACAGTGACCTTTATGGCATGCCAGAGGCATTTCCTTTCCTACTTGATTTTCTGTCTCATCTCATCATCTGGGGAAGAGTAAATACACACTAAATAAACTTCCAAAACCGTCTGATGGGAAAAATATTATGAAGAGTGAAAGAGAAAGTTAGATAAACTACATCTTTTACTACCTGGCAAACACTAAAGAGATCATCACATGAATTAAAATTCCAGCTACCACTTCGGTCAGCACCAGAGATAGGGAACACCGATTTTTAATTGCTGCTTCAGAATTGTATTTATTCTTAAAATGGAGACCTAGGTCAACCAAAATATAAACGAATATTTGTAGCTCGGAGAGAAAAACCTGAAATTGCCATTGAGATGATTTTTAAGGTTGGCAATTTTTATATAAAATCTTTTTTTTCCTTTGTAAATTGATATTCCTCTTAGATACGCACTAAAGCATAAGAAGAGCTCGACACATAACAGCTACTTTGAAGATGAGGAAAAACGTTTCTATTATTTATCTGTGAAATTAAACAAACAAACAAACAACCAAAACAGTTCACTTTGTTTGTCAGACCAACCAAAACTGAGTTTTCTTCCAGCCCAGTGCCAAACCTAAATGGTGGGACTAACAAGTTACAGACAAGAAGAAATACATTGCTTACAAAGATACAACAATGGATTGAAATTCAACTTAAATGCTTTAGTTCCTGCTCACTGTCACACAGCTGGAAAGCACAATAGCATGGAGGGTGGCAAGCCCTGATTTGGTGAGGGTGTTTTCAGGACTTTGTATTAACTGTGCCAGAAGCTTCACACAATGATGCTAGTGGAATCCTTTCCTTTCCTTACCTATCCTCTTCAAAGAAACTCCGAGAGATCACATACACCTTTGACAGAGGAACTTGAACTCCCTCTTATCTGACAAAGCACATAACTACAGCATTGCAGTGGTACACTCTGATGGGCCTCACAACTTCCCTGCAGAGCCCAGTGTCTCTAACCTGTTACCCAAATCTCAGCCTCAGACTTTTTTTCCTCACAGAATACGAGTGCCACTTTCTCAGCCAGGCTTGCTCCATTCACACAGACTGTCCTGAATGTGGATCAAAGCTGTTTATTGATTTATTCTTGGAGCAGAATTGGCCAGCAACCAACGAACCACGTTCAAAATCACATTGATAATACAACATACTTCAGAGTACTAGACACTTCAAGGATGTTGTTTAATATCTACATGCTTCCATCCTTCCAAAACCTGTCTCAAAAAGCTCTAGCCCCTACCCCCTCACTCCCCTCCATGTACACATGATCACACACACATATACACGCTGGAAGGAAGCGTGGATGACAAACATGTAACATCTTTGGGAGCATGCTTGCATTCTTATCTCCTGGGTTCTCTAGCCCTTAGTACCTGTGTTGCTTGCTGCAATGTGCTAAGGCACATTGGTGAGAAAGCAACTCGTGATGTCACATAAGCATTCCCAAAATGTTTGTCCCTGTGTGTTATTTCCTATACCAGCACTCCACTAGCTGGAAGGCAGGCTGCTCGCAGTCCCTGAAGGAGTGGATGCTCTGTCAGGCCTTGGCAGAGGCCATGATCCCAGTGCAGTTATTTGGGGCAGCACTGAGCCAGGTCATGGCTGATCTGCTTTCATTCCATGATCTTTGTTGCCAATATCTCAGATTTTTAATTATTTCACAATTCTTTTTGAGCTGATTTCTTCCTTTCAAAGCCTCTTTGTAATTACCTGGTTATTAATCTAGCTGATTCTTGTCTCCCTCTCTTAAATGGCCATCTAGGACAACTGTATTTTCATCCAGCTCTGGGTTCTCCATTCCCAGATGCTGTTTATATTCTCGCTCTTGTCTTAACAGCTGTTGTTACTGAGGCCATTTTGCCAAAGGGGATCCATGCAGACACTGTTGTTTCAGCTGTTCAAAAGGAGAAAATGTCAGTCTGAGGAAGCAAGTTGAGAAAGACATGACAGAAGCAGTTGGGGCAAAAACAAATGAAGGATATTCAAACTGTTGCAGGAGGCAAAATTGTACAATGACTATTTTTGAGCTACCTGTCAGAGTAAGAGTGGGCTGTGCACCACATTCCCATTCATCTGCTGCTCCTTCCAGAAGAAACTGTAACAAGGGCTGAGAGGAAGCCTCACTGTGCTCTGAAGCCTCTTCCACAGCATCAGGAGACCAAGACTACAGGATGAACACGGAGTGTGCTTTGTGCAGTAGCATCCAGGAGCCAGGCCTGAGAGGTGAAAAGTGAAGTCTGTTTCCCCTTAGTCTCATCCTGTTCTAACTGCAGCTTCCATGATGTGCTTAGGACAGCTATCATAAATGAGAAAGATTCCAGGCTCTGTCAAGGTTAGGCAACAATTTATTCCCATTTAATACCATCTCCAAAACTTCCTTCTATGATAGCACTCAAGTTTGATGCAGGCCAGCACTGACTGGGATAACTTGAGAGTCAGTCACTGAGCAGATAAATATGTGCACAAATATCTTTACATACACGTTGCCTAGTTCCTTCTCAACCCATATTAACTTGCCCATTTGCTTATATCAACGATGACTTTTCTTTTTTGACTGCTGTGTCACTACAGCCTGGTGACACTCTTTAAATGCCTGCTCCATTCTGAAGCATGGATAATTAGATGAATGTAAAGAAGTACACATTTTCAGAGTACGTGTTCTGCCCACGTGTATGACTCCAGCCCACATGACTGCCTTTGCTCAGTTATTGCTACAGGACGAATGGAGTGATGTGGTATCCAGACTTTATGTCAAGAATCCTAGATGGCATCTGTGGAGCACAAACACATCTGTGGAACTTCCATTGACAGGATGTTTTGTTACAGTCCATCAGAGTGGACTTTTTAAATATCAAAACACAGAGATTGTGAAAATGCTTTTTGGTGACAGTCTGGTTTTCCATGATGAGCTCATATATTCTTATGGGGAAATTTGGAGGACAGCAGCATCTCTCACTATTTTATCCTACTTCTCTATGACACTGAAAGAGAGAAACTCTATCGAAGAGTGGAAACTCTATGTTTGATTTTCTATAATGTGATGGAAATA